TGGGGGAGACAGGATCTGTCCCCATCCCAATCCCCATCCCCATTTCCATCCCCATCCCCATCCCCATTCCCTTTCCCATCCCTATCCCCATTTCCATCCCCTTTCCCATCCCTATCCCCATTTCCATCCCCATCCCCTTTCCCATCCACATCCCCATCCCCATTTCCAGCCCCATCCCCATCCCCATCCCTCTCATCCTGGTTGGATCTGGGATGGGGGAAGCCATCACCACCAGCATGGAGATAAGGTGGGGAGGTCCCGGGGACCACAGCCCCCCCCTGTGCTGTGTCCCCGTGTCCCCCCATAGCCCCTCTGCCACCTCCCCATCCCCTCCGCAGGCACCTGGCTGGACTGGAAGGTGGCAGAGCTGGGGGCCAAAATTCCACCAACAGTCCCCTTCCAATGGGAATGGGGACAGGGATTAGGGTGGGAGCAGCCTGAGACAGCCCGGGCTGAGCATGGGGGGGGGGGGGGGGGGCTGGAGAAATGGAGGGGGGATGGATGGGGGATGAATGGGGAATGGATGGATGGATGGATGGATGGATGGATGGATGGATGGATGGGGAATGGATGGATGGATGGAGGGATGGATGGATGGATGGATGATGGATGGATGGATGGAGGGATGGATGGGGAATGGATGGATGGATGGATGGATGGATGGATGGATGGATGGATGGATGATGGATGGATGGATGGAGGGATGGATGGGGAATGGATGGATGGATGGATGGATGGATGGATGGATGGATGGATGATGGATGGATGGATGGAGGGATGGATGGGGAATGGATGGATGGATGGATGGATGATGGATGGATGGATGGATGGATGGATGGATGGATGGATGATGGATGGATGGATGATGGATGGGTGGAGGGAGGGATGGATGGATGATGGATGGATGGGGAATGGATGGATGGATGGATGGATGGATGGATGGATGGATGGATGATGGATGGATGGATGGAGGGATGGATGGGGAATGGATGGATGGATGGATGGATGATGGATGGATGGATGGATGGATGGATGGATGGATGGATGGATGATGGATGGATGGATGATGGATGGGTGGATGATGGATGGATGGATGGAGGGATGGATGGATGATGGATGGATGGGGAATGGATGGATGATGGATGGATGATGGATGGATGGATGGATGGATGGATGGATGGATGGATGGATGGATGGATGATGGATGGATGGATGATGGATGGGTGGATGGATGGATGGTGGATGGATGGATGGATGGATGGATGGATGATGGATGGATGGATGATGGATGGGTGGATGATGGATGGATGGATGGATGGATGGATGGATGGATGGATGGATGGATGATGGATGGATGGGGAATGGATGGATGGATGATGGATGGATGAATGGAAGGATGGATGGATGGAGGGATGAACAGGAGATGGATGTAGGGATGGATGGACGGATGGATGAACAGGAGATGAACGGATGGAGGGATGGATGGAGGGACAGACAGACAATGGGCTCCATAGGAGCAAGCAGCAGCACCTACCACTCAGATGGACTCTGGGAATGGTGAGGGGTTATGGATCCAGAGGGATGCAGCCGGGCACCGGGAAGGACAAACGGATGAGGTCCTGGCCCGTGCCTTGTTCCGCTGCGCTGGGTGCCGACGGCATTGGGGTGGCCGTGTCCTGAGCCACACCGGACCGCAATGGGGACGGAAGCTCAGGATGGGTGCTCCAGGTCACCCCAGACCCCATCCCAACGTCTCCCATCCATGGTTCAGGCTCCATCCCCCCTGTAGCCCCCGACCCCCATCCCGCTGCTCACCAGCCTCCTCCATGCCGGCTCAGCACCGCTCCCATTCCCGACGGCCGGCAGCGGGATGGATCCGGAGCCCCGGAACACATCAGATCCCTTCCAGGATCAGCGCTTCCGCGTGGCGCCGTGGGCGGCAGAGCAGGAGAAACCCATTCCCGGGCACCAGGGTGGGAATTTCATCCCTCCTCTGCCTCCAGTGCCTCCCACATGGGTCCTGCAGCGGGTGATCCCGGCGCCCATGGCATGCTCAGGGTGGTGAAGCTCATGAAGCCGGCATCATCCCATGCTCCCGTGCTTCCATGTCCATTCTCCACCCCATGCGTGTCCAGGACGCACAGCAGCTCCAGGGCTGGGTGCTCCACGGGTGTCCAATGGGATCAGGGTGTCCTGGAGCATTCCCAGCACCCTCACCCCCTTCCCGGCTGCCTGTGGCAGGGCTCAGCGGATGCTCCGGGTGGGAATGGCTGGGTCTCACCCCAAGCCCAAGCGCCTCCCATGCGCCCCGGCTCCGGTTCCAGCCGATGCCATCGCTTTTCCTGCTTGGATCCAAGGCAACGGAGCCACCACCAAGGGGGGACGGGCCTGGGGAGGACCCCCGAGCTGGGTGCTGGGATGCTGCCGGCATCACCCCGCCGTGTCCCAGCGCCCATGGGGACCTCGCTCTCCCATCCCATGGGACACAGCAGGGCCCCGTGCGGCTCCTGGCCCCGGTGCTGTCCCCAGACAGGCTGGTGCCACCGGCCCTAATGAGGGCACAGGGGCGGTGGGCTCGGGGGCTGCTCACTCCCCCCCCCCCCGCAGCTTAACCCTTCCCCTGCCGCTCCCCTCTGGGTCGCTTTGGGGCTCTATGGGGGCTCCCTCTGCCCCCTGCCCCCTGTGCTGGTGTTGGGGGGTCCCAGATGCAGCCCCCCCCCCCGGCTCCCCCCCCGTAAAGCACTCAGGAAGGATGCGGGTGACCCAGAGCATCTTTGTCCCCCCGAGCTGGGGTGGTCACGGGCCCTGTCCCAATGGGTCCCTCTGCAGCTCCCCATGGCCATGGGGCACCCCCAGCCGTGGGAAGGGTGGTCCCTGATGGGGCAGAGGGTAGCCCCCAGCTTCAGGTGCTCCGAAGCCCAGGGGAGCCCTACGAGGACTGGGGATGAAGAGGGGGGAAGGTGATCCTGGGCTCCGTTGGTGTCACCATCACCAGGCACCCCTGGACCAGGGAGCGTGGGGTGGCCTGGTCTGTGCTGCCATGGGAACCAGCCCCACGTGGGGACACCTCTGCCCATCTCTGTCCTGTCACCCCATTGTGTTATGGTCCTTTCTCACCTCCTCCTTCCTGCCCTGTCTGCCCTCACCTCCATTGTATGTTTGTCCATCCATCATCCATCCATCCATCCATCCACCATCCATCCATCCATCCATCATCCATCCCTCCATTTATCCATTTATCCATTATCCATCCATCCATCCATCCATCCATCCATCCATCCATCCATCCATCCATCATCCATCCCTCCATTTATCCATTTATCCATCCATCCATCATCCATCCATCCATCATCCATCCATCCTCTCCATCCATCCATCCATCCTCTCCATCCATCATCCATCCCTCCATCATCCATCCATCCTCTCCATCCATCCATCATCCATCCATCCATCCATCCATCCATCCATCCATCCACCATCCATCATCCATCCATCCATCCATCATCCATCCATCCATCCATCCACCATCCATCATCCATCCATCCATCCATCATCCATCCATCCATCCATCCACCATCCATCATCCATCCATCCATCCATCATCCATCCATCCATCCATCCATCCATCCATCCATCATCCATCCCTCCATCATCCATCCATCCTCTCCATCCATCCATCATCCATCCATCATCCATCCATCATCCATCCATCCATCATCCATCCATCCATCCATCCATCATCCATCCATCCATCATCCATCCATCCATCCATCCATCCATCCCTCCATCATCCATCCATCCTCTCCATCCATCCATCATCCATCCATCCATCCATCCATCCATCCATCCATCCATCCATCCACCATCCATCATCCATCCATCCATCCATCATCCATCCATCATCCATCCATCCATCCATCCATCCATCCATCCATCCATCCATCCATCCATCCATCCATCCACCCCATCATCCTCTGCATCCATCTTCCCTTCTCCCTCATCCTTCCTGCCTGCCTGCCCCGTGTCCATCCACCCGCCTGCCTTTTTGCCTCCCTCCTCCCTCCCCTCCCCCCCTCCATCCTTGTTATCTCTCCACGCCTCCACCTTCCCACCCCTCCCTCTCCTCTCTACCCCCCCCCATCACCCCAGAACAAGACCTCGGCCCCCATCCTCATCCCATCCCCATCCTCATCCCACCCCTATCCCCATCCTCATCCCACATCATCTAATCCCATCCCATCCCATCCCTTCCCATTCCATCCCATTCTATCCCTACCCCCATCTCATCCCATCCCCATCCTCATCCCACCCCTATCCCCATCCTCATCCCACATCATCTAATCCCATCCCATCCCATCCCTTCCCATTCCATCCCATTCTATCCCTACCCCCATCTCATCCCATCCCCATCCTCATCCCACCCCTATCCCCATCCTCATCCCACATCATTTAATCCCATCCCTTCCCATTCCATCCCTATCCCCATCTCATCCCATCCCCATCCTCATCCCATCCCTATCTCCATTCCATTCCATCCCATCCCACCCCGTCCCATCCCTATCCCCATTCCATTCCATTCCATCCCACCCCATCCCATCCCTATCTCATCCCATCCCCATCTCTTCCCATCCCATCCCCATCCCCATATCATCCTATCCCCATCTTGTCCCATCCCATCCCTATCCCCATCTCATCCCATCCGTATCCTCCCTCCATCCCCATCCCCATCCCCATCCTATCCCATTCCATTCCATTCCATCACCATCCCTATCCCATCCCTACCTCTATTCCCATCCCCGGGGCTCCCCGGGACCACGGGAAAAGAAGGTCCATGCTGGAGGGCGGGCACAAGGACCCGGGGCGGGTGGAGGGGCGGGGCAAGGACCGGGGGAGGCGGGGAGAGGCGGAGCTGGTAGGTGGGGGCGTGGCTTAAGGGAGACTCCGCCTCCAACGGGCGTGTCCTCTGAGGGGAAGGGCGTTGCCTATGGGGGCGTGGCCTGGGCGGGGGGCGTGGCCCGGCCGCGATGGAGGCGCTGTTCGGTGGCGTGGAGGGGTGAGAGCGGCCGCGCCGCGGGCGGGGCCCCCCCCGTGCCCGGTACCCCGGTATCCGGTACCCCCATATCCGGCACCCCCGTGCCCGGTACCCCCGTGCCCCGGTATCCTCTGTATCCGGTACCCCCGTACCTGGTACCCCCGTGCCCGGGTACCCCCGTGCCCCGGTACCCCCCGCATCCGGTACCACCCGTACCCGGTACCCGCCGTGCCCCAGTACCCCTGTAC